ATGAACATCATAGCAAATACACAAATCTGAATGGCTGTTAAAATCATTTAAACAACTTTCAGAAACAGAAAGTAGCGCAGCTGCTTTGTTTACAGGGTTTACGGGGTAACGGCTGCATTTAAAATAGAATTATTATTATTATTAACAGTTTAGCGCCATCTGCTGTCAGAGAGTGAAGGTGCGCTTTCATCCAGAGCGTCTCTCACATGTTCCGCCATGTGCTTCTCGTCCGCACTTGTTTACATCAGAGTGCGCACGAGTCTTTCACGCAGAATACAGCGGTGTTGTGCATTTTGACCAGTTTATGGGAAAAGTATTCTTAAAATGCATTCAAAATTCTGAATAATTTGTTATATATAATTATTCACGGTATTTAGAAGTGCCCACGATAACAATATCGTGCATATTCATTACCGTGATATATCGTATTACCGAATACCGGCACAAGTCTATTTGTGATACTGTAGAATTATACAAACACAAAAAATAGACTAAACATCTTTGCCTTTTGCATTTTGAAGGCTGCAAAAATTTAATTTATGCTACATGGAATTCGTTATTTATTAAAAAATAATAATAATAATTTCACCTGTGTGACAGTTAAAAAGTCAACTTGAATTAGTAAAGCCATTGTTCTCACCTGTTAGAATGGACTGGTCCACCCTCAGGGTCGTTGACTTGATTGAAGTCAAGCGAATGTCAGCAGGAACTTTGTCACCCACTAACAGGAAACAAAAACATGCTGTTAGATAGAGATAAATCCAGTGCTTGAAGTGAACAAGGCCAAGCAAAATAACACTGTCATGACGTTCCAAATTTATAAGAGCATATCAAACTGCAATAAAAGAGCCAGAACACTTTAGAAGAAAGGTAAAGGACTTGGGTCTCCACAAGCAAAGCAAGACAGCTGTATCACCGATGAAAGCAAAGGTGCCACTACACTTTCAAATGAAAGGCACAGTGTCAAGTTGAAACCATGAACCACCAAGAAAGCACCTCCTGAATCTCAAGTATCGGCTTTACATCTAATGGCTTGGCAACTGACGATAATGGATTGTGCTTTCAAAGGATGAAATGAAGGCCAAAAATACATCACTCATCTAAAAAGAAAACATTACAAACCATGTTATCGTGGGGTGGTTGGGTTTAAATGTCAAGTTTTTTTTCCAGAAACCTTTTAAGGCGCACTTGCGAAGTTCTTAAGCAAGCTTTACAAAACTAAACATTACAAGAATTATGGCAATGCTTCATCTCATCCAGGCCTTTTTAAGTCACATAGTAGGACAATCTCAGCATCTACAGATCTTGTTGTGAATCTGCAGATCACCAGTGAGAAATTTTTATTTGGCACCAATACTAGAAAGCCTCCAACAACAATTTTTCTGGACAGGACCTACACTGAAGAGGTAAATGAACAGCGTCAAAAGCTTTGAAACATTCTTGTTCTACTTGGACAAAAATAGACACCGCTTCACTCTTTCCACAAACAGAGGTGGGCTTAGTAATTGCTACTAGGAAAAGAGCAAATGTAAATACCTTAATCTTTTCTAAACAAATCTCTTAATGAGTAAGGTGACTGATACTTGAGCTGGCTAAAACGCTTGACGTTTATTAGTAATTTGAGATGGTGTCTGTTTGAAGCCGTTGCTTGACATGTAAATTGAGTTTATTAAAGGGCAGGCAATGACAAAGCATCTTTTCACAGGATGTTCTAGGTGGAAAGAATGTTAAATAACCAGAGGATCTGGTCCTGGATGCTTTGCCTTTTCTGGACTAAGTTTTCACCAACATTCAAGTGCACTAATAGGCCTCTATGCCCTTTTAATGGAGTGGGAGACATGACGGGTGGTATCAGACCAACAACTAATACAGGTCCTAAAATGGAAAAGCTATTTTGAAATGAACTAAGGTGTACAGTGTCAAGCTAACACTCAACGTACATAGATTTAGTTTTAGATGAAACTATAAGTCCATAGAATGTAATGATACTTACAAACTATATATAGTTGACATATACAGCACATTTTGGCAATATATCAGATGTATTGCCACTGAACATGCTTTATTAGATTTATTAACCACACACTTAGACAGTGAAGCGCACTCAGTACTGCTCTAAGAGAGTTCTGGATTTCAAAAATAAAGTTTCTATGATCCCATTTATAAAAATACACATTCAAAATGCCCCTAAACTAAACTAAAGAATGTGGCACATAATCCCGATATATACCTCAAGTTAGAAAAAGGTCATGTAACAAGGTAACCTACTTTAGGTAGACAAGGAGAGAAAGTCTTATAAGAATAGATCGTAGAAAAATCATTTTTGGAGCGTTTAATATTATTTTAATAACACTAGTTAAATGGCAAAGAGTCAAAAAGTAAAAAAAATTGCACAAGCCTCAGGCATTTTAATTAAAAGAATGCTCAAACATCTTCAAAGGCCAGCTATACTATAAAGCTTAGAGTTTTATTATAGATCTCTAGATGATTTAATCTAGCATAACGGTGCTCAGAGAGACCAATACCAACCCAAAACACACAAAAAAAGGTCACTATCACCGAATCAAAACAACGAAGTTAAAAAGCTAACTGAGAGCAAGTGGTTGTATCATATTTGCTGCTAATGAAGGATTGGAAACAAACTGTCAAACACTCCTCAATGACTTAAAAAAAAAGCTTCAGCTACTTCCTCTTCCTGAGAAACAGCATAGGTCCTCCTTTAAGTTGTGATAACGGTTACAGCAATTTCAACAGAGTTATTCATGGGTAAACCATGTGGTTTTAACTACAAAATTTTGCACCAAATATATTCATCTTTGGATGATCAAGACATAAGAACAGAAAGAGCCTGTACTGTGAAATTCTGGCAATTAAATTACAATAGGTGACTTAAAAGTTCACTTAAGTAACTTAAAGTGTAGAAGGTAGCTAGTAGGGCTGTGCGATTAATCGAAATCGCGATTTGAGACGTTGCGATTTCCTAATCGCAAAGCCTGCGATGTGGACGCGATATTACTCCGTTCCAGAGCATATGATTGACTGCCAGCCTTGAGTTGCAGTCTTACTTGCCCTGGGCAAGAGTGAGCGCACCTCCGTTCTCCCCAATCAGCACTGCTCTAGCCAACTGCGAAAACACCCCCCATTTATAAAAAAAAATATTTAAAAAAAACGGAACGCGGGACGGGAGAGAGACAGAGTGGGATTATGGCGTCTACTGGGTCAGATCGATAGTTAGGCAAATTAAAACTAAAGAAAACCGTATGCAACTTTGAAATGACAGACAACGAACAAAAAAGGTCATTTGCAAGAGCTGCACCACAGCGCATATCAAAAGCTCCCTTATCGGTTCTGTTTTCAGTACTGAGAATAAAAGATACATTCTTAGATGTTTTTGTTAGTACGTGAACGTTATCTTACACATTTTATCTCCCCAACAGATTAATTTGAAAGAAGTTTATAATGCATGTTGGCTATTCCCAATTCAGAAGAGCGCACACACAGCCCGTGTCTGTGAATGCTTCTCATACTCGCTCCTCTCTGCCCCACACGGCACGAATCCCGCATCATGGACAAGCCGTTCATGCTTGCCGCACTCATGCAGCCTGTCTCATAATGCTCGTTTATACTCGCACCTGGCTCCGCACCACAAGTCTTCACGAGCGCATCTGGCAGTATGGATGAGGCTTGACGCACGCACGCAACCTGTGTCGACTCGCGCCTGGCTCCACGTTTAAAACGGAAGTAAATTCAGTCTAACAGCTTGCTAATTTCACTTGGATGAAATGAAACATTCAGCACATTTTCCACTTGCTCTTAAAATCCCAAATACTTAAAATGAATAAATCAATGTAATACTTTAATAATTGACTTAAGAAATACAGTTCTTTATTTATAAAAAAATAACAAATATTTTCTGTGAAATTCAGTAATTAAGTTAATTCTGTAAAAGTAGTTATCCCATTATAATCTTGCCTGCTAAAGAAAAAAAAAAAAAACAATAGAACCCCTCCCAAAACACAATAAAATATTTAATGGATTTCAGGGTTATAATGGGAATTTGTTTGGTTTTAATGTAAACTATAATGGTTATATATAATAACCCATACTGTGCTGCACATTATTGGCAATATTGAGTTGAAGCTTGACTTTGCAAATGTAAAATCGCAATATTTGTCAAAAAAAAAAAATATCGCAATTTGATATTTTCCCCCAAATCGCACAGCCCTAGTAGCTAGCATGTTTTTTTTAGCACATTTCTATGCAATTAAATAAAGCACAACAAACTCAAAACAAAAAGCATAAAATTTTTAAAAAAAAACTATCAATCAACCATCAACATTTCCTCGCATTGTCCCTGATTGCCTTTGGCTGGTTTGCGCAAAGAACACTCCCTCCCAAGCAGTCTCAATTTGCTGGAGTTCTTCTCGAGGGAACTGACAGCGAGAGGCCGCAAGTGTAGTGATGACCCGAGCACGTAAACACACAGGGCCGGATATGCTCCCCGTCATACAGACAACTTGTCCTCCAAAAGCCTGTTCCCACTGCTGCCAATGTGACCGAACCGATGCCTGCGGAGGACAGCAAGAGAGGACAAAGAGCAGAACACCTCGCCTTTAAACACGAGAAAAAAAATTGAGAGCGGCCATCTGGCTCACTGATTATATCTCGTCAAATCTGGTCAACTCTTAACTGCACATCCAGTCTCCGTCCTTCATTCATGCTCTCACTTGCTCTCTACCGGGACAGGGTGGTCGTTTAGGCTACAGCCTTCAGTTAGGTCATGTTGCAGAGTTTTATGCACAGTGAAACGCCCCACCTGAGCGATTGCAGAGCAACCTTGATTTAGTACTTCTAAGGACGATTCCCATGAGTCAGAGCCATAACCATAGCAAAGGAAACAATCTTGGTTCATTAGCAGAGAGGAACAGTAAATTTAGAAGCTGGAAGATTGCAAAAAAAAAAGTGTCACTGGGAGGAAGACAACATTAATTTGTGGACAGGAAGTCATACAATGCATTTAAAACCACAAAAGCTAGTTTACATTGGCTGCTTGTCTCCTCTCTGACGTGACAAAAAATATCGCAATTTGATATTTTCCCCCAAATCGCACAGCCCTAGTAGCTAGCATGTTTTTTTTAGCACATTTCTATGCAATTAAATAAAGCACAACAAACTCAAAACAAAAAGCATAAAATTTTTAAAAAAAACTATCAATCAACCATCAACATTTCCTCGCATTGTCCCTGATTGCCTTTGGCTGGTTTGCGCAAAGAACACTCCCTCCCAAGCAGTCTCAATTTGCTGGAGTTCTACTCGAGGGAACTGACAGCGAGAGGCCGCAAGTGTAGTGATGACCCGAGCACGTAAACACACAGGGCCGGATATGCTCCCCGTCATACAGACAACTTGTCCTCCAAAAGCCTGTTCCCACTGCTGCCAATGTGACCGAACTGATGCCTGCGGAGGACAGCAAGAGAGGACAAAGAGCAGAACACCTCGCCTTTAAACACGAGAAAAAAAATTGAGAGCGGCCATCTGGCTCACTGATTATATCTCGTCAAATCTGGTCAACTCTTAACTGCACATCCAGTCTCCGTCCTTCATTCATGCTCTCGCTTGCTCTCTACCGGGACAGGGTGGTCGTTTAGGCTACAGCCTGCAGTTAGGTCATGTTGCAGAGTTTTATGCACAGTGAAACCCCCACCTGAGCGATTGCAGAGCAACCTTGATTTAGTACTTCTAAGGACGATTCCCATGAGTCAGAGCCATAACCATAGCAAAGGAAACAATCTTGGTTCATTAGCAGAGAGGAACAGTAAATTTAGAAGCTGGAAGATTGCAAAAAAAAAAGTGTCACTGGGAGGAAGACAACATTAATTTGTGGACAGGAAGTCATACAATGCATTTAAAACCACAAAAGCTAGTTTACATTGGCTGCTTGTCTCCTCTCTGACGTGACTGGCATTCACACTGCAGCGGTTAACAAGTGTCAAAGGCAGTCGGCTAATATTTCTAACGCTTTCTATTACCCCTTTTTAAGGTCAATTGCTCAAGTGGCTTGCATCAGCACATTGTGCTGTACCATATTCATTTGGGTCAACAGGGACTGGTCTACACTTGTCCCCACCCCCAGAATCCTCCTGCGATTAGTCTCCTTGGCTAATATCTCACTACACTGATGTCCCTCAAGGTGAGGCCTCGATTAAGAGAAGAGTGACTGAATCAAAGCGAAAAGGTCATGTGACTGATTCAGTGACTGAAGGCGGCGTTTACACTGCAAAAATACCCATTTCAATTCCCAAAATTCTTGAAATAAGATACATTTATTTTCTTGAGGAGCATTACATAAGATAAGGATTGTTTCACAGATTTTAGCTTTCACACATGTATTTTGTCTTAATGCACTGGTAGATTTTGTCCACTTGTTTAAGAGAAAAACAAGAAAATCTGCCAGTGCCATTAAAAATGCATGTATATTCAAGACAGGGCAGCCAGATCTGCATAACAAAGAAAACCAGCCCATTGCCCAATCAAAAGTAGCCCAAAACTAGTCCAATGAGCAATTAAAGTAGCTCAAAAAGGGGGGAAAAAAACCACACAAAATATGCCACTGCTATACCTAAACTACATATTCTACAGTCACTGTTACGCATTACACACAATGTTAATTGAATAATCACCATAAAGTAGTTATCATTAACGATCTAGTTTCCAAAAAAAAACTCACAAAAAACATTGGTCAAATATAAATTATGCAATGTCAAACCTTTAAGAATTAGGGGGGGGGGAAACTTGGCAACCCTGATTTAAGATACAATTTATTAAAACAAGTTTTAATATCTTATGCAACATTTAAAGTAATTTATATACATTATTTAATAACTACCTTATTTTTAACAATTTTTTGAAATATTTTTATTGGGAATCAAGTCAAAAATATCTAATTAAAACTCATTAAGAAGTGTTTTGCAGTGTAATGAAGAAAGCTAACAGGAATCCATTAGCATTCCTATTCATAATTTGATTCAGTTTTCCTGAAACCACCAATTTCTGGTGTAACTTAAAATCTAGTCACCATTGGCAACAGTCATGAAACCCAAATGAAAACCAGCACACAAAGATTCCTCAAACATAATCATGTTAGCGTATCCTTCCTGCATGCAACTATGAACGCAGCACGAGCCATGGTGTCCGATTTATGAAAATATGACTCATGAACTGATTCTTTTTAATAAGCCTGTCAAAAACGTCTGAGAATTAACCCTTAAATTTGCTTGCGAGTTAGCGGTTTGAATCATTAAATTCGCAACTGTTTACTTTTTTAGTTGTCCAATTCAAAATCAACCAGGAACCGCTACTTTGATATACGTACCTGATAAAAAAAAAAATTCTTTGGGTGACAAAAAGATGAAACGAAGTCATTTGGCTCCCAAAGTTTTTTTTGTGGTCTGGACCTCTGTTCCAGCTTCTACAAAAGCATAAAAAATATCATCACTTAGATGTATCCTTAGCAACTCTGCCACCCACACAGAAGTATTGTGGACTGGAGTGTTTCATTTTGCATGACCCATCCGTTTAGGCACCCCTCACAGGTTATGTAACAGGTACACTCACCTGGTTGCATTACCGCAGGGTATTAGTCAGTGACATGAGAACATCGGGTCCTCCAATCCCCATCCTGCTGATGATGGGGACTAGGCTGTACCATGTAGCTCACCTCTCAGCATTGCCTGTTTCACCTCATCGTGACTAAGCACGTGACTGAAGCTTTTGAGCCCACACCTCATCAAGTTTATGTAAACAATGCAAAAATGAAAATCAGTAAAGGGCAATTATGATGAAGTGTTTTGATTAATCACGGTGTGCTGCTACTTGCACACTAGCTGAAAGAGTCTTGACAGCCGCCAATGTGTAAAACACAAGAGTAAAGCAATAAGAAAGCGCCTAGTGATCTGTTCCAGTGAGCAAAGAGACGTGGTGGTACGTGACGCAATATAGAGCAAGGGGCACTCCTGATAATCTCTATTCAGATGAATTCACGTGGGAACTCTAAAAGTTAACCAAATTACGAAGTACATCACTTTTACGGTCGTTCGAAAAAGAGATAAAAAATATTGATGACTCATCTTGTATTATACAAACTAAACTCTCTAAAATGAGATTGTCCCCTCCCCCTAAATTATAAATCCCTCCTACATTTGACTACAGAATGTGTCAAATAATCTCATACTAGATTTCTTTTTCCAAACAGATAATCGTTGCAAATGTTTTTTGAGTGTTTTCAAATATATATATATATATATATATATATTTTTTTTTTCAATTTAATAGTATAGACCAGTGGTTCTCACTTCCAGTCCGCGAGTACCACCATTCTGCACATTTTGTATTTGCCGTGCTCAGAGAATAGGGAGCAATGAACACTGTGTAGGGACCATGGCAATCGGAACGCTGTTCATGCATGGAGCTCAATTCTCACGAGCTGGTGATTTGAATCAGGTGTGTTAAATAAGAGAGACATGCAAAATATGCAGAGCGGTGGTGTGCGAGGACTGGAATTGAGAACCACTGGTATAGACATTTACTATGTTACAAAATATTTCAAATAAATCCCATAAATGCTGTTCTTTCAAACTTTCCATTCGAAGAATCCCGAAAAATGCATCACGGTTTAACATTATTAAGAAGAAATGTTTCCTATGCAGCAAATCACATATTACAATGATTTCTAAAAGATCATGTGACACTGAATACTGGAGTAATGATGCTGAAAACTCAGCGGTGTCATTACAGGAATACATTGCATTTTAAAATGTAATAACAGAAAACATTAAGTTATAATTTTTTTTAATATTACAGTTTTTATTGTATTTTTGATCAAATACATGCAGGCTTGGTGAAAATAAAAGACTTATTTCTAAGTCTAATATGTACCACCTCAACTTCCTGTTTTAATAAGAAATTCGTTAGTAATACAGAAAATTATGAAACTCAAATACCTCATGAGTCACAAAGACAAAAAGCAAAGGAAACAAAAACACAACATGAGCTCTTCTTGCTTTCTCAAGCTAAATACGAAGTGACGATCCATTAATTTCTGAAAAATGAATTTGTGGCAATTTGATGAAAACGAACTTGACAAAGTAATTAGTTAATTCAGTGTGCTTTCTTAAAGTACCAGCAGAGCTCTAACGGGTACTCTCTAGGAAGTCTTTACTGCAAACCCCATGAAACACGACCTCTCCCGAGGCAACCATGTGATCACACACAAAGGTTTAGAGAGTGACTCTGTAAGCCTAAACCACTGGGAAACTAACCTGTTCACACAGCAGCCGTACCACATGGATGATGGCCCTGGCTGCTTTACACCTGTTCCCGCTGCTGCCAAGACTTCACTGTTCACCTGGCTGAATTTGACATTGAGAAAAGTCACTTAAAATTCTTACCGGCAACTTCCACAATGTCCCCGGGTACGATGTCCCTGGCTTTGATCCTCTGTACAGTCTTCCTGTCCTGGCGATAGACCTTGCCCATCTCAGGCTCGTACTCTTTTAGGGCCTCAATGGCATTTTCTGCATTTCTCTCCTGCAAGCAGAACATGAATGGAAATTAGACATCCTAGCAGGCATAAGAAAGCATAAGAATTGTTCATAACAGGGGTTTTCAAACTATGGCCCAGGGGCTGGGGGTCGACAGAAATGTTCAGAGAAAAATATCTAAATAATAAAAATTTAATATATATTTATACATTTATTCAGCAAAGACACATTAAATGAATCAAAAGTGACAGACATAAAAGTTACAAAAGACTTCCATTTCAAATGATGTTCTTTTGAATCAAAGAATCCTGAAAAGAAATGTATCACAGTTCCCACAAAAAATAAGCAATATAAACTGTAAATAATAATAAACTGTTTTCAACATGGATAAGAAATGTTTCTTGAGAATCAAATTAGCAAATTTGAATGATTTCTGATGGATCATGTGACACTGATGAATGAAATGAAAGAAAAATCTAATTTTAATGAAAATGTTCTCTCACACTGATGTGTTCCTCACAATCATCGTATTTGAAGGTCTTTGAAACCCTCTGGTCAATAGCAATAAAAAAAAAATTTAAAAAAAGATTTCTGGACATAAATAGGCTATACAAAATCTGCACATTATCTTCCACAAGACTACATTATTATTAATGATAGGATAGCTAAAACAAAATTTGCCAAACTATTTCACATAGTAGAATATGTAGAACAGCAGTTCAAAATACAAATTTGCAAAGCTCAATTCAGTGGCATCCGAAATGGTAAAACAATCCAGGGCTCACCACACTAAGAATTTGAGTCTTGGATGACTGAGGCACCAGCACATACGACTGAAGGAAAACTCCCATTGACGCTGACCTCTAGTGCTTATTCTTAAAGTAAAACGTTGCATTTAAAGCAACCTTTCATGCTTTCAACACGATTAATCCCCAAAGACACAATTATTAATAGTGGTAGCCTGGTTGGCAGAGCATTTGGCAACGGACTTCCTGTGGTTTCTCTTGCATGATGGGAACACAAAGTTTTATGTCAAACAAACAAAACTGGCGTGCCTAAGGGCGAAAAACCAGTTTCAAAGTCCAGACCCGGATAAATAAAGGGGGATGGTTTGTGGTCACTGGTCACCAAGACATTTAAGGGAATAAGCTATAAATACACATGCCACAGAAGGCATCTCAGCATCGCTTCTCTATAGAAGACTAATAAACAAGTTTTTTTTTTTTTACAAAAAATATTGTCATTATTAACTGCTGAGTTTCTAGTGAGTTACCCTGCAGTAAGGTACATCACACTAAAAATCATTGTAACCACAGTGATGTGCATCAGTGATAATATTCAGATAGCTAATAAGTTGACAGAAATGACTCCTGTGCATCATGTTAATGATGAGAAATAAAGCAGAGAGGGCGGAAAGGCAGATAGAGTCACACGATCTGGCTCCTGAGGCCTCGCCATTCTCATTTCACAGTTAATCTGAGAAGAACTGAAAGGAGGAAGGCCAATCTAACACTGTAAGAACACTTTTTATTCATATATCAGTGAAGCAGCAGAGCGCACTGCCTCAAAAACACACTCCTTTCAAGCATGGAGTCTTTCCAACAGAATGTGCTCTCCCAAATCTTTAGATTTAGATTAAAATAAATCGCCAAAAGACATTAAATTCAGTGAAATAATTCATGAAACAAATTTCATTCATATATTAAGTACTCTAAGTCAATGTGGCAAGGACTAAAGAATTAATTTTTTTATGGTGCCAAAATTAAACAGGCACAATGTACTGTATCATTCAAAAGTGAGGGGTTAAGCTTTTTTACAAATATGTCTGAAAGAAGTCGCTTATGTTCACCAAGGCTGCATTTATTTGATCAAAAATACAGTAAAACTGCAATATTGTGAAATATTACAATTCAAAATAACTTCCCTATTTTAATATTTTAAAACGTAATTTATTCCTGTGATGGCAAAGTTGAATTTTCAGCAGCCATTATTACTACAGCCTTCAGTGTTGTCACGTGATCCTTCAGATACTTCTCATCAGTGTTTAAAACAGTTGTGCTGCTTAATATTTTTCTGTTAACTGATCTTTTTACACAATTATTTGATGAATAGAAGGTTCAAAACAACAGCAATAAAACTGAAATCTTTTTTAACATTATAAAAGTCTTTCCTGGCACTTTGGAACCATTTAATGGATCCTTGCTGAGTAAAAGTATTAATTTCTTAAAAAAATGAATGTATTAATTAAATTAAACAACTTCCTAACCTCAAACATTTGAATGGTAGTGTATACTCAACAGGTAATAGCACCTTTGTACTAACATACTTCAGTATATCCTGGTTGCCGTGAATCAGACTCGGTTCTTGCTGCAGATGTTTAATGGGCCTGTAAATCTACCAGAGCAGGTGCATGGACTGAAGTTTGCCCTGGGCTAGCAACTGCTGCTCTACTTTCTGATTGAAAAGAGGATAATACGTCCTCTTGCCTCTAACATCACACCTGCCATTAGAGCAATCCACCAAAGAACTATAAGGTAACACGTGAGGAAAAACTGTATGAAGAAGACCTCAGGAAACAGCTACCACACACAGACTATAAGGCTCTAAAACCTCTTTTTTTTGGACTCTTTAAAAAAAAAATTCCATTTACATTAGGGCTGAACGCCACAGAAGCGAGATCGCGCCCACGCGGAGGAGCTTCAGCACGCGCAACATGAAAGCCCTGCTTAATTATTATAGAAGAGAGAAATTGCATTTGCGATAATATCGCAATATGAAAAATTTCAATTTTTCAAACACAGAGGCTGCGATTACACGGTCACGTGACAGGTGAGAGTAAAGAGGTGTGTCTGACTTAAAGATCAGATCGGTGTATGACATCAAAGTACGGCGAGCGAGAGAAAGCATAAGGAGACATCCGCGCTCTCTTATAGCTCTGGCAGTACTTTGATGACACACACCCATCGGTCTAAGCAGCGCTGCTTCAAGTCGAGTGCAGGCCATCAGCAGAAAAAGAAAATAAATAAAACAGTAAACAGCCAAAGGACGTAACTTAGAATGGGAGATGGATCGGTTTGTGAAAGCGAAGAGAAAAGCCATAGATGAAGTTGCACAGACCCAGGCAGGTGCTGGTCATTCAAAAGCTAAATGCAGAAAATATGACGAGGCATATCTTGCTCTCGGCTTCACTCACTGTGTCTATACCGGATGCCGTGCCGCAACAGCTCTACACTGGACGCGACAAAGCGACCGTTGCAAATCATTATAACTTTGTGTCAGCACGACATAAATAGAACACGGCATCAGTTTAATGTCGGATTTTGTCGCGCTGCGCTGCATCCAGTGTACACAGCGTCACTGATTATAATGGTCTACTGTATTTTGCCGCTTGCGTCCGGTGTAGATACGGTGTTTAATGTCGTTTGTGAGCAGGAACGCCTGTGTGTGTCCTATGCCTTAGCGGACAGCAAGAAACCCACAAAAAATAAATAAATAACAGAGAGAGAATAATAATAAGTTATTGAAAAAAGGTATATAGATAATGTTTCAAGTGATGCAGGTGTTTTTTTCCCTGTAGGTTTTTTTAATTAAAAAAACATTAATTTTTCATAATGTTTAGTGAAATTATTTGGTAGTCTGAGGGGGGCGCAACCAAAAAAGTTTGAGAACCACTGTTCTAAAGTTAACAGACAGTGTTTAGTGCAGTCCACATGTTTACATATGTTTATTACAGTGACTTTGAATTACCTAAAGTAGTGTGGTAAAGCAACAGATTTGTTTTTATATTTCTGCAATCTACTTTAGTTTGTGTGATTTGTTACTGACTTTCATATTAATGTTTACACCAGGCTTATTTGTCAGTGCTTTATGTTGTCATAAGTATTACATGCTTACAAGGTTGGAAGTTCAACAAATCAGTCAATATACTGTGATTGTAGTTGTTAAATAAAAATGTCATTCATATCAATTCATGCATCACCTAATTTCATCGTAACATAGGCCTGGC